GAGAAAGAAGGAAAGAGGGAAAGAAAGAGAGAAGGAAAGAAGGGAAAGAAAGAGAGAAGGAAAGAGGGAAAGAAAGAGAGAGAAGGGAAGAAGGAAGGAAGAAAAGGACAAGAGAGAAAGGAAAGGAGAGAAGGGAAAGAAAGAGGGCAAAGAGATGGGGAGAGGGAGGAAGGCTCTCCCACCCCCCATCAAGCCCCCCCCACCCCGCAGATCCCTCACACGGATCCCTCACTCACCGCGATCAAGGCCTTCCCCAGGTCGCAGCACTCCGGTGCAGGCCCCGGGAAGCCGGCGATGGGCCTCCTCAGGCCTCTCCCGGGCTGCAGCGCTCCAGCGCGGGCCCTGGGAAGCCAGCAATGGGCCTCCTCAGGCCTCCCCCAGGCCACAGCGCTCCAGTGCGGGCCTCAGATGTCATGCCCACCGTGCAGCTCGACCCCGTGGACCCTGACCCAGGGGATTCTGCACCCTCAACTTCCGAGGTTGAGTTCCCTGCACCCCTTAAATCGCCTGACCTAAGTCCTGAGGAGGATGAGCACCAGTCAACTGGAGAGGTTGTCCCTGGAGCCGCACCGGCAGAGTCAAGCACAAGCACCACGCCTCCTAATTAACCTCCACTGGTGGCTCGTTTGCAAGAGCAGAGGTGACGGAACATGGCAACCCGGCGTAAGGAGGTGCACATGTGAGGTCAACGTACTCTAAGCCCAGAGTACTGACCGGAGCCAGGACCCTGTTAGCGGCCGGTAATTGGCTAACAAGCAGAACGGGCTCTTTAGGCGGCTCTCTCAGATCCACAATTCGTGCTGGCAACTAGTCTCTTGGACGACTCGCTGCACTCTGGATCCTACGTTCTTGTCTCCTGGTTTTCATACTGATTTCCCGGCTCCTGACTCTGGTTTGTGTGACGTCATTTCTCTCCGACTCCCCAACTACGGACTGTGTACCCTGACTTCTGACGAATGGCTTTCGACTTCTATTTATTTATGTATTTATTCATTTCATTTCATTTATACCCCGCCCTCCCCGCATGCGGGCTCAGGGCGGCTTACACGGCACAACAGTGCAATAAAATATAACACATTAAAATAAGTTAGGCACACAAGTGCAATAAAATTACATAGTTATCCACTTAAAACACAATATTACCGGATGCATTGGTAGTTGAAAATACCCATTCGTTTTCCTATCTCACCGTGAGGTCAGCTGAAAAAGGGGGGGTGCCATAGGCTGAGATGTTCCCAGTTGGCTTCTGAACTCTTTGATACAACCTCCAGTAACCCTAGGTTACGTTTTGACTTGGTGTTTTGCACTTTGCTCACTTTACTATGTCTTCTCTGGTACCTGGACCTTGGACTGTGTTTCGGACTTCCGTGCCCTGCCTGGCCCACCAGTGCAATCGTGACACCGGGAGGCCAGCAACGGGCCTCCTCAGGCCTCCCCCAGGCTGCAGCGCTCCAGTGTGTGCCCCAGGAGGCCGGCAACGGGCCTCTTCAGGCCTCCCCCAGGCCACAGCACTTCGGCGCGGTGAGTTGGGGGCAGGGCTTGCCACCACTGCCATTTGTGCCAGTTCCTGGG